TTGATAATTTCTATGTCTTTTTTCAGGCTGATATAGTTTGCAGTAAGTTCCTCATAGTTTCCTTGCAGTTTTTGGTAATTCTCTCTGAGCTCACTGAACTCATTGAGCATCCTTAGCACTGTTATTTTGAACTCAATATCTGATAGTTTGCTTGCCTCTATTTCATTTAGTTCTCTATGTGGGGATTCCTCCTTCCCCTTCAAGTGAGGGGTGTTTCTTTGTCTTCCCATTATTTTTGAGACTTTTCTTTTTTTCTTTTGTTTCTTAAATTGATCTGTCTTGATTTCACTTTGTGGTGTGAACTGCCTGATTTTTCTGGATCTGCATTTGATGATGTCAGATGTTGACCCTGTCTGATCTTAGGCAGTCTGTTTGAGGCTTCCAGGAATCTACTGTCTGTGGCCATCTCCTTCATCTGTTAATCTAGTCACTCTGCTCTCAGCAATCTGGCTTAGAGACTCCACAGGGCGGAGTAAAGTCCCTCATGTGGGCAGGGTTATTGGGTCTTCTCATGCCGCTGCTCAGGGGTGTGGTCTGCCTGAGCCCCATGGCTGCTGCTGTATGGGGGAGGAGTCAGCACCAGGATCTCCACAGCCAGTCTCTCTGTTCTTTCCCCAATGCCTCCATCTCCAGAGTCTCCCCAAGCGTCTCTAGACCACTGTGCACCTTATTTAGCCAGGGATCTACTCTCTGTGGCTGCCACTCTGTACTCAGCAGCAAGGCCTTAACACTATCGGATCAGGACCAAGTCCCTCCTGCAGGCAGGGCTATTGTGTCCTCTCATGCTGTTGCCACTCATGGGAATGGTCTGACTGAGTGAGATGGCTGCTGTCGTAAATGGAATGAGTCAGCACTGAGATTCTGCCAGCCGCTCTCCCAGTTCTCACCCCAAAGCCTCCTTCCCCATCTTTCCACAGGCATCTCCAGCCCACTCCACCCTCGCCTCCACTGGAGACCAGGATAAGTGGCTGCAAATAAAAATTTATGTGTTGGCCCTTTAAAAGGCTCTTTGCGTCTCCAGTCTCCTGTGTCTGGCAGAGAGCAAGCCTGCTCTTTTCACAGCTGGATGTTATCTGTCTACCTTTTGGTCTCCGGCACTGTATGTTGGGAATCCCTGCTTATGGTTTAGACCCCATTCTTCTCAGGGTGATCTGCCTGGCTGTTTAAATATCCCTCTGGTGCTGCTGCCTGTGGGTGGGCCCAGTCAGCCTTCTCAATTCTCCACCGCACTCCTCCACTATCAGTTAGGTTGTGGTATAGCTTTTTCTTCTATCTGTCCAAGTTTATAAGGCTCCTCTCGATATTGTTCAGTTGTTTGTTCCAGGTGATCTCTCCACAAATTAGTTGTAATTCCAGATTTGTCCTGGGAAGAGGTCAGTGTGACTTCCACTCACTCCTTCCATCTTGATTCCTGGTTTGAGTAGAGTTCTTTTGAGATCTCTTTTGGGCTTGGAAATTTGTAAAATAGGGAAGTTAAATTTTCAGCAAAATTTCTCAGAGGCACCAAAAAAGTGCCATAGAGTTAAGGAACTGAAAGTTTACTCTGAATATATCACTGTCTTTAGAGAATTAGTAATGGGGGAAGCATAAAACATAGAGTGAGACGGAATGCAGGATGAAAATCAATGGACCATAGAGTGTGTACTCATCCTGTCTGGCTTACTTCCCTCAGTATTAAAATTTGAGATTCACACATGTTGCATTTGTCAAGTGTATTTTTATTGATGAAAAGTAATCTATTGTATGTATATGCCACAGATTGTTTATCCATTAATCTGTTGATGGTCATTTATATTACTTCTAATTTGGAGCTACTACAAATAAAATTTCTATAAACATTTAATTACAATTTTTTGTATGAAAGTATGCTTTTATTTCTCTTGGGTAAATATATAGGAATGGAATAGATGGATCATGTTAGAGATATATATTTAACTTTTTCTTTTTTTCTTTTTTTTAAATTTATTTACTTTTTAAATACATTTGTCTCTGCCTCCCCCCCCCACCACTTTCCCTTGCCCCCTCCCTTCTTCCCTCCCTCAGCTCTTCCCCTTTGGTTTTGTCCATGAGTCCTTGCTATATGTTCTTTGACTTTCCCCTTCCCTTCCCTTTCCCTGCCCCCTCTTCCCTCTTGTCTCTGTTGATTTCTTTTCCTTTCAAGAACCTGCCAACTAATTTCAAAATGTAGAAGAGCTCTGTTTCTTTTACATTCCTGCCTATGCTTGGTATGTTCAGTCTTTTTCATTTAAATTGCACTCCTCTAGAATATTGGGAATCTTCTCATGTGCTTAACTGATATCCTCTTACCTACACTGGTGAAATGTGTCTTCAAATCTTTTGTCCATTGAGTTATTTTTTTTTCTTACTATTGAATTTTAAGAACTCTTTATATATTCTGGATACCAATTTATTTTTAGATATTTTATTTGCAAATATTTTCTCCCAGATTGTGGTTTGTCTTTTCATTTAATTAACAATGCCTTTTTTTGTTGTTGTTGTACAGTTACAGTTGTCCTCATTTCCTCCCTCCATTACTCTCCCCTGCCCCACCAACCCCACCTCCCATATACAGTCCTCCCCCTACCACTGTTGTCTTTTTCTGTGGGTCTTTTATATATGTCTATTCCTTGACTTGACCTTTCTCCTTATTTGCCCTGTTATCTCCCTCCCCCCTCCCCTCTGGTTACTGTCAGTTTGTTCTTTATTTCCATGTCTCTGGTTCTATTTTGTTCATTTGTTTGTTTTGCTGATTAGATTCCACTTATAGGTGAGATCATATTAACAATGCTTTTTTAAAGAGAATTTTAAGTTTTGAGGAAGACCAATTTATCCATTTTTTTCTTTTAAAAATTTTTGCTGCATCTCAGTTCTTAAAAATTTTCTCCTATATTTTCTTTGAAAATATTTATAGTTTTAGGTTTCATGTATAAGCCTATGATCTATTTTATTTAAGTTTTTATTTGTGATATAAGACAAGAATAAAAGTTTATTTTAGTTTGCATATAGATATTCTTTGTTCCAGCCCCATTTGTTGAAAAATTATCCTTTCTACACAGAAATGTCTCTGTAACTTTTTTGAAAGTAAACTGCCCATTTGTGTGCTTCTCTATTGTGTGACTCTGTTCCATTGATCTATTTACCTATCTTGATGCCAATATCACAGTTTTTATTACTGTAGGTTTTAAAATATATTTTCATTGTTGTTCAGTTACAGTTGCCCTGCCTTTTGCCCTGTTGTTCTCCCCGGCCCCATCCCCTCACTCCCACAGTTAACCTCCCCCCATACTGTCCACGCCCATGAGTTCTTTATTCATGTTCCTTGACTTGATCCTTATTTCTCCCCCCATCCTCCATCTCCCTCCCCCCTGGTCACTGTCAGTTTATTCTTCATTCCCATGACTTTGGTTCTTTTTTGTTCATTTGTTTGTTTTGTTGATTATATTAAAAATCTGATGGAATTTACAAAAATACCTATTAGAACTAATACATGAGTTTAGCATGATTTCAAAGATCAATTTTATTTCTATATACTAGCAAAAAAATCAACAATTAAAATTAGAAAACAATACCACCAAATTATAAAATAGAGATGAATATGTCAACAGATGTGAAAATCTATACTTACACAGGAACAAAAAAAGTTGAAAAAAATTAAAATAATTGAGAAATATGTTGTTCATGAAATCAGAAGACAATATTATTTAGATGTCAATTCCTTCCAACTTAATCTATAAACAGTGGAATTCTTATGCCGTCACTTATAGGTGAGAACAATTGGTATTTGTCTTTCACTGCCTAGCTTATTTCACTTAACATAATAATCTCCAGTTCTACCCATGCTGTCACAAAAGGCAGGAGTTCCTTCTTTCTTCTGTGTAGTATTCCATTGTGTCTTTAAATCAAATGCTATTAGTTCTCCAACTTTCAAAGTCGGGTTTTTTCAAAATTGTTTTGGCTACTCTAGGTCTATCATTTTTACTCAAATCTTAGATTCAAAGTATAATTTCCTAAAAAAAAAATCCTACTGAAATTTTTTGTTGAAATTTCACTGCTTATAGATTAATTTGGGAGGAATGGATGTCTAAATAATACTATCTTCTGATTTAATGAACAACATATTTCTCAATTGTTTTATTTAATTTTTCTCGACTTTTGTTCTTTTGTAAGTAAAGATTTTTCACACGTTTTGGCAAATTCATCTCTATTTTAAAATTTGGTGTTTTCTAATTTTCTAATTGTTTTCTAATTTTAGTTGCTGATATTTTCTTACTATATAGAAATGAAATTGATTTTTGCAATCTTGATAAACTCATATATTAGTTCTAATAGGTATTTTTGTAGATTCCATCAGATTTTTCTATATAAGCAATCAAATTGTCTGCAAATAAAGACAATTTTGCTTATTTCTTTCCAATCTGGACAATTTTAATTTCTATTTCTTGCTCTATTCCATGAGCTAAAATTTTGTTACAATGAATAAAATGGTAGTAGTGATATATGACATACCTATCTGTGTTATTTATATCTTTAGAAAAGCAGTAGCATTTTGGAAGTCTTAAAAGCAACCAAAATCCTTGCATGTGGTGATTAATACTCAAGATTAGTTATTTAATTTCAGTGACAGATTTAAGAAGTGTTTAGTTTTCTATATCTCCTTTAAAAGTTAGACAAGCATAGGTTACACAATTTGAGATTAGTGTACAATTGCTATAATCTTGTCAAAAAGCTGAAGCCCCCCCCTCCACCAGGTACAAGATGTGGGCTCAGGTGAGCAACTATAATTGCCTGGATTCTCAGTTTCAACACATTCTTATGCTTTGCAACTTCATGGTGAGATTAAGGATTCTTTCAGTACTGAGCAAACATGTGAAGAAAATCTGTGTTATCAATGTAAGAATCTCTTTCTCCTAAAAAATATCTTCTCAAATGACCATTTAGTTTTGGGTTATTCAAAGCTCCTTGGTCAGACAATGGCTTCTATGCTGTCTTCTCTCTTTCAGTCTCACTTTGTAGGCAGAGATGAACTTCTGCCATCTTCAGCCTGCACCAAAGTCAGGCCTGCTGTACTGAAGAAGAGATGCCTGACTGTGCCTTCCACCACGTGGGATTGTGAAACTTTGTGCGATCATAAAGACCAAATAAGACTAGGATGGGTGAGTAGTTGTGGAAGTAATGATAATGATGATGATGATAACAATAGCTAAGGTACATGTTAAGTACTTACTATGTGCAAATAACTCTATTAAACACTTTACAGAAATAATTTCAGTTAATACACTACTATTGTCTCCATTTCACAGATAAAGAATCTGAGGCTAAGAGAGGTTGCCTACAGTCAAGTTAGCAATAAATAGTAGAGCCAGATTGGAACTTGTGCAATGGGTTTCCAAGGCCTATTTCTGAGTCAGTATGATGCATTTTACTGAAGAAGTGTTAAACTTCCTTGTTTCTTTATTTTTCTACTTTATTAGAAATAAGTTTTCAAGCCCTGGGCTTCATTGGTATTCCCAATTCCTCTGACCTTCACTCCTAGCCACTTGGCAATTATAAGCCATGAATATCTGAGAGGTTAATGAGACAGAGATTCAAACACAAAAAAATTAAGCAAAGGCACAGGATCAGGAGAATGATATAGTGAACTATGAACTGAGTCTGAGCTCTCTGGGGACTGGATTCAAATACTTCTTGCTTTATGTCAGGCTTGATCTCAGAGCTGGGATAGAGCTCAACCTGCAGGTATGGGCAGTGTCTGAAACTGTGGATGTGGTGTGTATGGGGGAAGGGAACAGTCCCCATTTGTAACCAGTCTATATTACATTAAATAATGAGCCAGAGATGAAGAAATAGTAAGATAGACTTATCTCTTCATGAAAATTGATTGAGAAATGAAGTTGCACTATATGGAAGTACCCCACAGCTAAAAGAGTTTAAGGAAGAGCCTTTAAAACACCAAAGACAAAAAGCCATTTGAGAAGGGAGACATGTGGCAAAAGCAAAAATCTATGGGAGGCAGATCAGAGCTGGAGAAGATGGAAAGGTGGACCAGGCTGTGCAAAGACATGACCAGGGAAAAACAGAGTGCCTTGCTGAAGCTGGACTCCATCTCTAAATTTCCCATCTTTTGACATCACACTCACAAACCTGCCTAGTGCTCTGACTCATTATGGCAAGTGTCCTGGTTGTACCTCATATTTGTGCATTGTCAGTGTATTATCCAGCCTCTTTTAATTTTTAGCCTGAAAGTCTTATGCATCCTCTTATCCATTCATTCATTGACCACATGTTACTCATATGAGCATAGCCCTGAGTTAGGCATTGGGAGGGAGGGTGCAAAAATTAAAAGTAAACAAATAAACATACAGGCTACCTTTATGGAGCTCAGAGTCTGGTAAGGAAGACAGACAAATGCGTGTAAAATTATAAAACAATTGAACTAACTATATAGGAAAGTGATATAGAAAGTCCTGTGAAATTAAGAATAGCACCACAAACTCTCCTCAGATAAATCAAAGATTAGTACTTTAACTATATCCCCTACTAGATAATCAGTTCTTTAGGATAAAGGGAAGGGAAAGAGAGGGTCTGGATCTATTTAATTAGAAATTCTTCACTGTTAAATGAAGACATAGAACAAAGACATGGATAAAAATGGTTTTGAAATTGAATGGCCTTGACTTTTTAATATTCTCCATTCTTATTCATTATATATATTTCTGCCAGATTATGTCCCAAAGCATAGAAAAAATACCATGCAATCCTCCAATGGTAACTTTCAACTACACCAAAACATCCTCAGAATTAAGAGCATATTCCTTAGCCTCAAGCATCATTGGGGTTCTTTGGTGGCTAGCAACAGAAAACAAGTGTGGATTATAAACACAAAAAACATTTTGTATTACAGAAAATAGAACTAGAAGTTGAGGTACCAGGCATCCATATAAACAGAAGTAAGGATAGTTCTGAGGTGTGAAGATAATGAACTAATGGTCTGTGCCTTCCAGGTGTAGCCATCAAGGGGAATGCAATCTCGATGCAGTTACACATTCAGTTTATTCAGTCAGTCAAAACTTCTTGGGACAGAATGATTGATTGATTGACTTTGTATTGGTTTTGGGTATACAACTTAGTGGTTATACAGTCATATACTTTATATAGTGTTCCCCTAAATATTTTCAGTTCCCCAACTGACACTTAACCATAGTTATCACAATATTATTGACAGTACTTCCTATGCTTTACTTAATTTCTCATGACTACTCTGTAACTACTAATTTGTGTTTCTTAATTCCTTCACCTCTTTCAACCAATGGCCTAATACCCACACTCCTCTGGCAACCATGAACCTCTTCTCTGTATATATGTCTGTATCAGTTTTGTTCATTAGGTTCCACATATATGTGAAATCATATGTTGTTTATCTTTTCCTGGTTGATGTATTTTATGGAGCATATTACCCTCCAGGTCTGTCCATGCTGTTGCAAAGTGATAAGACTTCAGTATTTTTTATGGCCAAGTAATATTCTATTGTATATATGTACCACAGATTTTTTACCAACTCCTCTATTAATGGAAATTTGGGTGGCTTCCATAGCTGAGCTATTATAAATAAAAATGTAATTAACATAAGGGTGCAATTTTTAAAGATAAATCTCAAAAAGTTGAATCACTGAGTTGTAAGGTAAGCACATTTTTAATCTTTTAAGAAAATTCCATACTGATTTTCATCGTGGCTACATCAGTCTGCTTTCTCACCAACAACATGCAAGGGTTCCCTTTTCTTCACATCCTTGCCAACATTTGTTTGTTGATTGATTGATGATAGCTATTCTGGAAGGTGTGAAAATGGGCAGAGGATCTGAGTAGATACTTTTCCAAAGAGATCATACAAAAGTCCAATAGACATATGAAAACATGCTAAATGTGACTAGTTGTCAGAGAAATACTAATTGAACCCACCGTGATAATTTTGAATTGGCCTGGCCTGGGTCACATCTTCCTTAATTGGTCAACAGAGATGGAGGTGAGTCAGGAAAACACAAATGACAGTCCCACCAGAAAGCTACCAAATGAAGAGAGATATTTGCCAAAGCAAAAAGAGGAGTTTTCTTTACTAAAAAAAAAGGGATGGATGCCAGGCAGACAAAAATAAAAAAAAAAATCAAAATAAACAATGAAATCAAGTTTAAAAAAGGAATCACTTTTGACAACTAAAGCAGCCAAAAAATCTCCAAAAGTAAGTACAAGTGATTTTTATCAGAAATTGTTCTCTGTCAGATAGTCTATTTTTCTGTCAGGCTGGCTCTTCTTCAAAACAGAACACCCGACTCACATATTTGCACTTGATTTCACTCCCCAGATCTTTGCACAGATGGTACCTTCTGGTCACTCAGTCAGTCATCCTAAATGCTATCCTCACACTGTGGATCAAAAACACCTCCAATTATTCTTCTAGCTGTGTTAGAGAATTGTCAGAGTATGCACTCCGCAGAGCAGAAAAGGCACTCTCCTCATCTCCATGCCTTGGTTTCTAACATATGCATAGATACTGCATTTATGCTCAGTGAGAGCTGGGCTGACTCCACCTCCTGGCACAGCTAATGACATGGTGCCCAGTACTCAGAATGCTCTCCTCAGAGGAGGTAGGCATGGCTTCACCCATTTCCCTCCTGCTTCCCTCCCCCATGCACCCCTGAGAAGGGAAGATGGACAGGACCATTCCCAACCCAAAGACCAAACTCACTGTGACACATTAAGACCTGTTACTTCATTTGAAAATGACTAGCCTCTAAAACTCTGACATAGCAGTCATTTCTGTACTCTTATATTTGTCAATAGCTTAATTTTTACATGTAAATAAAATATTTTAAAATTCCCCTGCTGGGACTATACCCTAAGAATCCCAAAATGCCAATTCAAAAGAACCTATGCACCCCAATGTTCATGGCAGAACAATTTACAATAGCCAAGTGTTGGAAGCAACCTAAAGGTCCATCAGTAGATGACTGGATCAAAAAGTTATGGTACATATACACAATGGAATACTATGCAGCAGAAAGAAAAAAAGAACTACTAAACTTCGTGACAGCATGGATGGAAGTGGAGAGCATTATGCTAAGTGAAATAAGTCAGGGGGTGAAAAACAAATACCATATGATCTCACCTATAAGTGGAACCTAACCAACAATACAAAGATGCAAGGACAATAAGACCAGCAACACTGAAAGGAAAAGAAATCAACAGAGACAAGAGGGAAGGAAGGAGGTGGGGGGGTCAGGGCAAGGAAGGGAAGGGGAAAGTCAAGGAACATATAGCAAGGACTCATGGACAAAACCAAAGGGGAAGAGCTGAGGGAGGGAAGGAGGAAAGGGGCAAGGGAAAGTGATGGGAGATTGGCAGAGACAAATGTATTTGAAAAAATAAATTAAAATAAAATTAAAAAAATAAAACAATAAAAAAATAATTATAACCATTGCTTTAATTCTGGTGTGAAGAACAACTGCTATGGCTGTGTACACTGGAAAGCAGCCCAGGGTATGTGATAAGCCATTGGATCAGAGTTAAAGATTTGGATTCCAAGCTCTCCTTTAACACTGACTCACTATGTGACCTGGAACCTGAGAGAGGCTCTATTTTCCCAAAGACAGAATGAGGTTCTCTCACACCACAAGTTCTATGGCAGGAAGACAGAGAGTCTGGGGCCAGCTCTATTCAAATGAAAATCATGACTCTTTCCCCTACTGGCTTTGCAACCTGAGTAATACCTAATTCAGTCCTTCCCAAACTCTACTGATCATCAGAAGGTCATGGTAACATCTTAGAAATTACAAATACTTAGACCCCAGAAATGTTGATTCAGGAGTTCTTGAAAGAAGTCCAGAAATCTTTATTTCCAAAAGCTGCCAAGTGATTCTGATAGTCATCCAGGTTTGGGAATCACTCCCTCAGTTACTCTGAGCCTGTTTTCTCATCAGTAAATTAGGAATAAGAACAACGCTTCCCTCATAGGACTGATAAAAGAACTTATGAGATAATATGTGCACATTTCTTGACACGCAGTGGAATGTCTTGTGGCCAGTCATTCATCAGAGGTGCCTGAGTATCTGTCCTGTGCCAAGTACCAGGTCAAGCCCTGGAGGCAGAGTGATGAGCATGATAGTTGTATTCCTGGCTCCAGGAAGACTGTGTGCTGGAGCAGGTAGATGGTCAGCACACAAGGAAACCCACCGAAATAATTCTTACTCTACATGCTCAGTCTCTTGAGTAGCCAGAGCAGAGAGGGCCCAGTTTAGCTTGGATCTAGAGGAGGGATGGATTTGGTGAGGCAGAGAAAAGACCTCCTTCAGAAGGGGAAACCAACCTAATGCTGACCCAGGTGAAAAAAACAGGGTCAACTCCCTGGAGGAGAGGCAGAGACTGTGGAGGAAGAATTCAACTGGAAATGTAGTATCCAGATAATAGGGAAGTTGGATGCCAGATGTAACATCTTGAAGGCAAGAGAAATGGACCTAGGACCTCCATTCTATTGTCATCTCTCACAGTTGGGTAATTCCCAGTAGGTAGCCTTCACAAACATTTTTGCCACCGGTATTCTCACCACATAACTAATTGGTCATAAGATAATTTTGCCATAGAAAAGATAAAATTACAAAAAAATAAAAGAGAGGCTTTGAAAGGACATAAAAGTTAAAAGGCTTTACTTGCATATATTTAAACCGTGAGTAGAATCATGGCAATCCTGCATAAATAACTGATTTTAATTTGTGGATTACACCTAAGCACTTGTCTTTTTTCTATAAAAACTGTGGATTCAACTTTGTGCCCTCAAAGGGACCCCTTGGTATCTCTGTTTCTTTTTCCAGTGTAGTGTGTTTAAAAATAAGAAACCAAGATTTCAAGATGGTGGAGGATTGAGCAGAAGTCACACTGACCTCTTCCCAGGACCAATCTGGAATTAAAAATGAATTGTGGAAAAATCACCTGGAAAAAAACTGAACAATAGCAAAAGAGGAGCCTTAAACCCTCGGACAGACAGACGAATTGACTTTAGCACAACGTAACTCATAAGGAGTGAGGTAGAGGCTCAAGAAGGTGGACTAAGTGGCCACAGGCGGCAGCACCAGAGAGATATTGAAGTGGCCAGTTGGATTCCCCTGAGAAGAGCAGGGTCTAAACCATAGGTGGGGGTCTCCAGGCTACAGCACCAGAGGACAAAAAGTACACAGATAACAGCCAGCTATGAAAACTGGCAGGGTGCTCTCTGCCAGAGACAGGTGGCTAGAGATACAAAGAGCCATTTAATGGGACAATGCAAAAATTTGTAATGGCAGCCACTTACCCTGGGCTTCAGTGGAGTTGGGGACAGAGTGGGCTGGAGCAGACTGAGGAGAGACTGGGGAGGGACGCTTTGGGGAGAGAACTGAGAAAGTGGAGGGCATGGTCCCCATGCTGGCTCACCCCCAATTCCACCACGGCCATCTTGCTCAAGCAGACCACTCCCCTGAGTGGCAGCAGTGTGAAAAGACAGAATAGTCATGACCATAGGAAGTTTGGCCCAGACCCAGGTTGTGGGCAAGCTCAACTACTGAGTACCGAGTAGCAGTCACAGAGAGTAGGTTTTTGCCTGAAGGGGATGCAGAGTGCTCTAGAGATGCTTGAGGAGAGTTTGGAAACAGAGACATTAGGGAGAGAACAGAAGGAGTAGCCTGGGAGATCCTAGTGCTTACTCTTCTCCCATAAGACAGCAGCCATTGTGCTCAGGCAGACCACTCCCCCAAGTGGCAGCAGCATGAAAGGACACAATAGCGATGTTCCCAGTATAATTGGCTCCGGCCTGGTGTTGCACTGGCTTGGACACTGAGTCAGAGCAGCAATCATAGATAGTAGATCCCTGGCTTAAAGAGATGCAGACTGGTCTAGAGATGCTTGAGGTAAGTCTAAAGACAGAGGTATTGGGATGTAGCAAGCGGGGATCCCAGAGCGGACTCTCCCCACATACGGCAGCAGCCACCTTGCTCAGACAAACTCTCCCCTGAGTGGCAACAGTGTGAAAGGACACAACAGACCCACCCACAGGAGGGACTCTGGTGGCCCTGAAATGCTGAGGGCACAATGACAAGATTAACAACTGAAGGACACAAACACAGACAGTAGATTACCAGAAGTCTAAAAAGACTGCCTAAGATAAGTGGGGGTCAAGAGATGATATCAACAGAGGCAAATCCAGAAAGAAAGAAAAAAAGGCAGTCTCCTGCCATAGAAGTTCACACCACAAAGTCACAAAGTCAAGACAGATCAATTTAGGAAGGATAAGCAAAAAGAAGAGTCTCACAAATAATAAGAAGACAAAGAAGGGAAAGGAAGAATCCTCAGAAAGAGAAATAAATGAAATAGGTACAAGTGAACTATGAGATATTGAGTTCAAAACAATGGTTCTAAAGAAGCTCAATGAGCTCAGTGAGCTCAGAAAGAATTACCACAAAGTACAGGGAAACTATGAGGAACTTACTGCAAACTATGTCAGCATGAAAAAGGACATAGAAACTATCAATAAGAGGCAAGAAGAAATGAAGAATACAATTTCTGAATTGAAGAACACAGTAGAAGGAATCAAAATCTGGTTGGATGAAGCAGAAGATCTATTCAGTGAGCTGGAGGACAAGGTTGAAATAAGCTCCCAGAAAGAGCAAGACAATGAAAAAAGACAAAAAGAATGAAGTGTTCAGAGAAATACAGGACAACCTGAAATGTAATAAGATCCATATAATAGTGATACCAGAAGGAGAAGAAGAAGAGGAAGAGATAAAAACCCTGTTTGAAAAAGTAATGATGAAAAACTTCCCTATTTAGAGGACAGAAAAAGTCACACAAGTCCAAGAAGCACAGAGGGTCCCATTCAAGAAGAATCCAATGAGGCCCACTCTAAGACACATCATAATTAAAATGGCAAATATTAAGGACACAGACAGAATCCTAAAGGCAGCAAGGGAAAAAAAGTTAGTAACACACAAGGGAACCACAAAACGACTAATAGCTGACCTCTCAGCAGAAACACTGTGGGCCAGAAAGGAATGTCAAGAAATATTCCAAGTAATGAAAAGCAAAACCCTGCAAACAAGACTACTCCAACTGGCAAGACTCTCAATTAAAATGGAAGGTGAAGAAAGGAATTTCTCAGACAAAAGAGGACCAAAAGAATACACCTCCACCAAACCAGCACTACAAGACAGGCTAAAGGGACTGCTTTAAGAAGATGAAGAAAAAGAGTGAGAAATAGAGGATGACAGGTATAAAGGGAAAGAGTGAATAAGTACCTATCAATAATAACTTCAAATGTAAATGGATTAAATACCCCAATCAAAAGACACAGGATAGCTGAATGGATTAGAAAACATGACCCACACATATGCTGCATACTAGAAACCCACCTCAGAACAAAGGACCTACACAGACTGATAGGAAAGGGATGGGGAAAAAAAAAAAACAACAACAACATTCCAAGCAAATGGACCGGGAAAAAAGGCAGGGTTAACAATACTTATATTATACACAATAGATTTGAAAACAAAGACCATAAAAAGAGACCCAGAGGGACACTTTATAATACTCAAATGAAGAATCAATGAAGAAGACATAAAAATTGTAAACGTATATGCAACCAACATAGGAGCACCCAAATACATAAGGAAAACTTTGGAGGATTTCAAGAAAGATATAAACAGCAAACACTGATAGTATGGGATTTGAACACCCCACTGTCAGAAATGGATAGATCTTCCAAACAAACCATAAACAAGAATATTGTGAAACTGAACAACTCATTAGATCAAATGGACTTAACTGACGTATATAGAACCTAGCATCCAAAAGAAGCAAAAGAAGCAAAATACACATTCTTTTCAAATGCACATGACACACTTTCAAAGAGACCACATGATAGGACACAAAACAAGCCTCGAAAGAATTCAGGAAAATTAAAATGATAAGAAGCATTTTCTTAGATCACAAGGTCTTGAAACTAGTAACCAACCTCAAGGAAAAAAACTCAAAGACATTCAAACTCATGGAGACTGAATAGCATTGTATTAAACAATGAGTGGGTCAATAATGAGATTTAAAAAAATCAAGTTTCTGGAAACAAATGGAAATGAACATACAACAGTCCAAAACCTATGGGTCACAGTGAAAGCAGTCCTTAGAGGGAACTTCATGGCACTACAGACCTACCTAAAAAAGACACATTTCAAATAAATGACCTAACCCTTCAGCTTCAAGAACTGAAGAAACAACAACAAACAAAGCCCAGAGGGAGCAGAAGGAGAAAATAATCAGGATCAAAGCAGAATTGAATGACATAGAGACTAAAAGGACAATTCAAAGGATCAACCAATCCAGGAGCTGGTTCTTTGATAAGAAAATAAAATTGACAAGCCTTAAAGCAGACTCACCAAGAAAAACAGGGAGAAGACCCAAATAAATAATATGAGAAATGAAAGAGGAGAAATAACAACTGATACCAGAGAAATAAAAAAGACTCTAAGAAATTACTATGAACAATTTTATGCCAAGAAATTTGAAAACCTTGATGAAATAGACAAATTTCTAGAAAAGTATAATCTTCCAACACTGAATGAAGAAGGAGCAGAAAGCCCTAAAAGACCTATAACAGCTTATGAAATTGAAGCAGTAATCAAAAAAACTGCCAACACTCGAAAGCCCTGGACCAGATGGTTTCACAGAGAATTTTACAAAACATTTAAGAAGCTAACCCCTGTCCTTCTCAGACTATTCCAGAAAACTCAATAAGAGGAAAATACTCCCAAGTGTTTTTTATGAGACCAGCATCATCCTAATCCCAAAACTAGATAAAGACAAGCAAGAAAAAAAAAAACTACAGGCCAATATCGCTGATGAACATAGATGTTAAAATTTTCAACAAAATATTGGCAAACCACATCCAGCAATACATTAATAAGATTATCCACCATGATCAAATGGGATTCAATCCATAGATGCAAGGATGGTTCAATATTCATAAATCAATAAATGTAATACATCAATTATACAAAAGAAAGACAAAAGCTACATGATCATCTCAATAGATCAGGAAAATACATTTGATAAGCTACAGCACCCATTTATGATAAAAACACTCAGCAAAGTGGGAATAAAGGGGGCATACCTCAGCATAATAAAGGTCATTTATGAAAAACCTAGAGACAACCTCATGCTCAATGGGCAAAAACTAAAAGCTTCCCCACTAAGTTCAGGAAAAAGATCAGGAAGTCTGCTTTCACCGCTTCTATTAAACATAGTATTGGAAGTCCGAGCCATGGCTATGAGACAAGAAAAAGAATCATTTACATAGAAAGCCCTGTAGACTCCATCAAAAAGTGACTTGACCTAATAAACGAATTTGGCAAAACAGCAGAAGACAAAGTCAATATTCAGAAATTAAAAGTACTTTTGTATACAAAAATTAAAATATCACAGTCAGACAATCAGGGAAACAATCCCCTTTACTATAGCAACAACAACAAAAAATAAAGTACGTAGGTATAAACCTAATGAAGGAAGTAAAAGACCTATATGAAGAAAACTATACAACACTAAAGAAAGAAATTAAGGAAGACACAAACAAATGAAGCACATACCGTGTTCATCAATCAGAAGAATTAAGATCATCAAAGTGTCCTTATTACTCAAAGTAATTTAGAGATTCATCACAATCCCTATTAAAATACCAATGACGTATTTCACAGACATAGAACAAACATTTCAAAAATTTACTTGAAATCACAAAATACACCAAATGCTCCCAACGATTTTGAAAAAGAAAAACAAAGTAGGAGGTATCATAGTACCTGACATCAAATTATATTGCAGGGTCACTGTAGTCAAAACAGTCTGGTAGTGGCATAAGAACAGACACATAGATCAATGGAACAGAATAGAGAGTTCAGAAATAAACCCATGTCTCTGTGGTCAACTAATATTTGATGAAGAGTGCAGAAATAGAAAATGGAGTAAAAATAGCCTCTTCAACAAATGGTGTTGGGAGAGCTGGACAGCTACATGCAAAAAATTGAAATTTGATCACCAATTAACACCATTCGCAAAAATAAACTCAAGATGGATAAAAGACTTAAATAAAAGTCACAACACCATAAAAGCCCTAGAGGAGACCATAGGCAGGAAACTCAGATATCACACACAGCAATGTATTCTCTGATATGTCCCCTTAAGCAAAGGACATAAAGGAAAAAATAATCAGGTGAAACTTCATCAAAATAAGAAGCCTCTGGACAACTAAAGAAAGCATCAGCAAAATGAAAAGTGAGTAAACGTATGGGAAAATATATTTGCCAATGAAACCTCAGACAGAGGTTTGATCTCCAAAATATATAACTTCCACTCCATGAAGACAAACAATCCAATTAAAAAATGGGAAAAGGACTGGAACAGACATTTCTCCAAAGAGGACATACAAAGGGCACAGAGACATGTGAAAGGCTGCTCATTATTAATTGCCATCAGAGAAATGCAAATTAAAACCACAATGAGATACCATTTTGCACAGGTCAGAATGGCCTTTATAAAGAGCTCAACAAACAGACGTGCTGGCGAAATTGTGGAGAAAAGGGAACCATAGTCCACTGTTGGTGGGACTACAGACTTTTGTAGCCACTGTGGAAAACTGTTTGGAATTTCCTCAAAAAGCTAAAAGTGGCAATACCTTTTGACCCAGCAATTTCACTGCTGGGATTATACCCTAAGAATCCCAAAACACCAATTTTAAAGAACCTATGCACCCCATTGTTCAGAGCAGCAGAATTTACAATAGCCAAGTGCTGGAAGCAACCTGAGTGCCCATGAGTAAATGAGTGGATCAAAAAGCTATGGAACATTTACACAATGGAGTACTACACAGCAGAAGGAAAGAAAGGGCTACCACCCTTAGCAACAGTATGGATGGAACTGGAATGCATTATGCTAAGTGAA